AAAAAAAAAATCAGCCATTGAAAATCCTATGGAGTACAGTTCTACTCTGACACACACGGGGTCACCATGAGTCAGCATCAACTTCACCACACTGATTTGTGCCAGGTACAGTTCTAAGTGCTTTAAATAATATTGACCATTAAACCTCACAACAGCCCTACAATATAGGTATTATTATTTTCCTCGTTTTACAGATAATGAAAGTGAGGCCCAAATAGGCTCAGGGTCATACAATTAATAAGTGATAGAGCTGGGGTTTGAACCAAGACGGTCCTACTGAGGAGTGCTGCTCACAAGGAAGGGAACGCTGTCAGCGTGACAACAAAGGCACTTCTGTCCTCCTATAAGTGTAACACTAACTCTATAAACACACAGCGAGCACTGTAGATAAACTACATTTGTACATATTTACTCAGTCGACATTTACATGTCACCTTCAGGAAGAGTGGGGTGTGCTGAGGTGAGGCGAAGAAGAAGAGAGGAGACTTAGGCCCTTGAGAGATTCTAATCTAATTTAAAAAAAGAAGAAAAAAAAAAAAGCCTGAGCAGGCCAAGTCCTGGATTTCAAGGTCAGTTTCCAAGGTCTCCAGACATGAGGCAGTCATCTGAAAAGGGAACCATGACAGAGGAGTCTGACCTCAGTGTGGCCTCCTCACTCTCACTGAGCTGCTTTCAGACCTAGTGGGGAATAAGAAAGCAGAGAAAGACCCATGTCCAAGGAGCCAAAGTACCCTAATCTCAGATCAGGTATCGATACCAGTAGGCTTTAGAAGGTTGTGAAAGCAGAAGATGTCACGCTCCCTAGTGCTAAGACAATGGCATTAATCTATATTTACTGATAACAAAACCAACTAAAGTATAGAGTCCCTGGGTGGTGCAAATGATTAAGTCCTCAGCTATCAACCGAAGGGTTGGCAGTTCGAATCCACCCAGAGGGACCTTGGAAGAAAGGCCTGGCAATCTACTGAAAAATTACAGCCATTGAAATCCTACAGAGCAAAGCTCTCCTCTGTTGAAACACATGGGGTCACCATGAGTTGGAATCAACTCCATGGCAACTGGTTATAAACTAAGGTATAAAAGACCAAGTAACTATTTCCAGAAGTTCTAATATAAAACTTGGGAACTTGCCATGTTATCCTAACCTAACTTTCTATAAATACCGAATCACAATATCCCACAGTATAAATTCCTCAAACTCAAGGCCCTTCAGAGAAAGTAGTTGGCTGTAGCAGAGGCCCTGACACACAGAGAATGATCATTATGATGGTGGTGGTGATGACGATGGTGATGATGGAAAAGATAATGGCAATGATCATGACAGCAACTGTTCATGGAACATCTCATATGGGTCAGGGATCCTGCCGAGCACTTTTCATGCATTATCTTATTTAATCTTCATAACAACTGTAAGAGGCGGGTGCCTTCGCTACACCCATTTTACAGATAAGGAATTAAATGAGAGAGGCCAGATACCTGGGACAAGGTGCCATGGTTGATAAGTGTTGAGATCACAGTAAACCTAGGCTGACCAGACTTCACAACTTCACATTCTTATTTTATGCTCAACTGTTGATAGAAAGCTCTGGAAACAGAGTGTGCTGATTACTCAGATTTTCTGGTAAATACATATGCTATTGGTTCTAAATATTCATTTGAAAATTTTCTAAACATTCATGGTTCTCTTTCCTGCCTTAGTAAGTATAGTATATAAATATAAATCTAGTTCTTTATTAACAGATAAACATTTAGGAACGTATCTCCTAGTTGCCATAATGATCCGTTCTTATTACAGAGTATTACACATGTAGGTACAGGAATTGAGGATGACCACATACTAAGCTCAGGGCATGTTCTGAAAGTGGGATGTTAAAAAATAAGATCTAAGAAAATTTGTTTTATTTGCTTTTTTCTTGTAAAACATCAGTAGAAATGATTTTGGTTGAGAAGTTGAAGTTTCACTGTAGTGTACCCAGTGGCTGTCGACAATGTGTTCAGAGCACAAGAGAACTGCGGGGAAACAGGAAGAGGAGCAAACCAAAACGTAAAAACATAACAAAGCCCAGCATAAACACTAAAATGACCAGCATCCTAATCCTAAGGAAAGTCCAGTTTCTCATAAGGGGCAGTCATTGTATTTTTATCTTGTGGGTTAATGTTTTTGCAGACACATTAAATCATAAAAATCCAAGAAACCATCTCTCACCCCTAAACCACACAATGTATTTTAAGGAACGTGTCTCTTTTCTAAGAAATTGCTTGATTTGCAGGAAGTGGTAAAGTGGCAGGTGTGTTCCCATGATCGGCCAAAGAAACCAAATAAACGTTACACTGGGCAAACCTGTTTCTCTCAGATAAACAGCTGCCTGCTGCGTTAAGGAGGGAAAAGGAGCCAAAGGACTGTCCCTATGTTTGGTTGGCACTTCTGTTTTCCGTTTAGATTGAAAAGGAAGATGGCAGCATACGACGCGCAGACCCTACTCTGCAGCCAGGCCAATCCCAGCCCCTGCCATGGGGTGGTGTTGTTACTGTCTATCGAGTCGGGTCCAACTCATGGTGACCCCATGTGTGAAAAGTAGAACTGCTCCATAGGGTTTTCAAGACTGTGACCTTTCAGAAGCAGATCTCCAGGCCTGTCTTCCAAAGTACCTCTGGGTGAATTCGAATCACCAACCTTTCAGTTAATAGCTGAGCACTTAATTGTTCGTACCACCCAGGGACTCCTTGCCATGAGGTAGGGGTTTCAAAACCCAGATTCCGGGCAGAGGCCTTGGCAAGTCTTTCGTCCTCTAGGTAGGCAGGGTGAAATGCGAGGGTGGCTAAACTAGGAGTTGCAGCAAAGACAGAATTCATATTTTAAAAAAAGAGATCATTACACAGTGAATAGCTAGGCTGGGAGGAGGAGGGTTCCTCTTTACCTGCTCCCAAGGCAGCCCATGACTTCCCTCTCACACCACTCCTCACACTGTAAATGATCACTTGTCTGTCTGGATCCCCAGTAGGCTGTGAGCTCCTGGAAGTCAGGGACTATCCATCCTGGGCACATAATCAAAACTAAACCCATTGTCATCAAGTCAATTCCGACTCATAATGACACTGTATGACAGAGTAGAACTGCCCCGTAGGATTTCCAAGGCTGTAATGTTTACAGAAGAACACTGATACATCTTTCTGTTCCAGAGCGACTGGTGGGTTCAAACCGCCCACCTTTGGTTAGCAGCCCAGCGCTTTACTACTGTGCCACCAGGGCTCCTTGGGCATACAATAAACACCCAATAAATGATGATTATTATTGCTACAGTGTGTGCTCAAGAAATATCTGCTGAATAAATGGAAGAAAGGAAGGAAGGAAAGAACATGACTTTCCATTTGGCCTCTTGCTAAATGCTTAGGTTTGGAGTTTAGTAGTTGGGATAGGATTCACTGCATCGTAGCTTTGGTTTGATTGTATCGTAAGCAGGGTTAAGTAAAGTCAGATTTTAAAAAAAATAGAAAAAAGGAGCAGAGCTAAGCTGGCTTGTTAGAAGTTCCAGATTAAAATAAGGGACCATGTAGGCTGGCTGCTGAGGGGGTTTAGAGGTTAAAGCAAAGTCCTAGCCACACAGACAATGGCAGGGGCACACAGAGTGTGTGATAGGGAGCAGTGTTCAGACTACCTAGGTGCTCTGTGGACTCACAGAGACTGACTGGCTAGCAGGGGGCCAGAAGGGAACTGCTGGGCCAGGCTCTGCCAGCTTCTCGATAGACCTGACGGTAAATATCCTCCAGGAAAGCTGTGCCTTGCGATGAAGTTGCTGCTGTGAAAATACTTAGGCGAGCCATCCAATCGCCGGGCTGGAAGCAGTGCTGACTTCTTCCCTTCTGGCTAAGTGGTCTCTGCCAGGGGCCACGGGGCAAGAAGCGGTGGGCAACTGATGTTCACTGACCTCCTGTTGGCGACCCCTTTACTTACATTCTCCCGTGGATTACCTATGAGGTTGGTGGCATCATTTACATTACACAAATCACGAAACTGAGGCTGAGAACTGTAACTCACCTCATATTTACAACCAGTAAATAGCAGACCCCCAGAATCTTTATCTGGGTCTACTGCTCCAGGCTCAGAGGAGAACCTCTGACACCACAGAGCTGACACTGTCCCCTCCCCCACCCTATGCCCTTCAGAGGCAGCCTGATGGAGGACAGAATTTGACAGCTGGCTTCTCCCTTGCCTGTCCTGACCACCGTCCCGTACCACCTCCACATTGTCCTGCCTGCCCTCAGGAAGGAGCCTTCTGTCCCAGGCCCGACTGGGCCTCTATGCCTCACTGATGTTTCTAACAGCAGAGATGTAAACAAGTCTCAGCCTGACCTGCAGGATGCTCAGTTCACCCACCTGCTCCAAGCTAGGGCTCGCCTGGCACTTCTGCTAACCCAGCTCCAAATGAAGAAAGAGTTCCTGGACCAATATTTCTCAAAGGATGGACCCTGGGTCACCTGGGATGTTTGTGGAAGTACAGATTCGTGGTCCCTCTGACTCAGCATCTCTGGGAGAGGCCCCAGGAATGTGCAGCTTAAACAAGTTTCCTCTGTGATTCTTACACCAGCTAATATATAATAGCCTCTGCCCCAGGGTCTCCTGGGAAGACAGGGGCACCCAAACCCCTCCTTACAAACACCTCCCACTCCAAAATTACAGTAGTACATACTTAAGGTAAAAAATTTGGGGAAAAAACTGAAAAGAATTTAAAAAGAATTTACATGATTCAACAACTCAACAGCAAATAACAACAACAACATTATCCTACCAGAGTCTCTGGGTAGTGAAAACAATTAACACGCTCAGCTGCTAACTCAAGGTTTGAGTCTACTCAGAGGCATCTCGAAAGAAAGACCTGGTGATGTACTTTTGAAAAATCTGCCACTGAAAACCCCATGGAGCACAATTCTACTCTGACACACAGGGAATCACCATGAGTTGGAATCAACTCAACAATTTTTTTTTTTAATTCTACCATGTAGTGCTCTCTTCGGCAGCACATATACTAGGATCGGAACTATACAGAGAAGATTAGCATGGCGGCTGTGCAAGGATAACACGCAAATTTGTGAAGCGTTCCGTATTTTTATTAGGGTCACATAATGTATGTATAAATTTTTGTATAAGAGACTAACTTCAAATGTAAAGTTTCACTTAAACTACAACAATAAAAAAAATTCTACAATGTAAAGAGAAGCACTATTAACATTTTGGATTATTTCCTTCTGGTATTTTTTTATACATATAGACACAGTTACAGTTTTTCTGTTTTAAAATATGGCATTGCACCAGGCTGGCTGTTTAGAGTCCTGCTTCTCTGGCTTGGCTAAGCACGAGCACATGCCACCCTATTGCCTGGAAGGAAGGGCGGGTGTCCCTGAAGTGTCATCAATGTACGGTTCTCTGTGGCTGCTACTGACCATCATGGGATTACAGGCTAGTGCCGCTGATGCAGAAGGATGGGGAGCTGGAATCAGAGCATCAGGGATTTGAAAACTCCTGGAATCCCTGGGTGGTGTAAACAGTTAAGCACGCAGCTACCAACCGAAAGGTTGGTGGTTCAAATCCATCCACAGGCACCTTGGAAGAAAGGCCTGGTGATCTACTTCTGAAAGGTCACAACCACTGAAAACCCTATCAACTACGGTTCCACTCTGACACACATGGGGTCGCCATGAGTTGGAATCAACTCAGAGGCAACTAGTTTGGTTTCTGCTGACACCACCTATCTCCCCACCCTCAGAAGATTGCACCCTGGAAGATGGGTCAATCCCAATTTAGTCAAACTTTAAAAAATTCTACAAGTTTAGCATTGGAATGAACTTTAGAGGTTATCAGGCTCAATCTCCTCACTTATAAATGAGAAGACCAGAGTCCAGAGAGATTTAGCTTCTGTTGGAGTCTCATGGTGTGTGACAGAAGATGCCAGGACCAGAAGCCAGGTCTCCTCGCCAAGCCCAAGGTCCTCCTGGTCCACTGTGCTATGCCGTGGACTCTGTTCACTAGTACCCAGCCACCTGCCACACTTGGCAGAAGACAGCAGCCAGATAGGGCAGGCCCAGGTGGGGATCAGGGTCTAGGACATACTTCTCAAATGCAAAGGATCTCTCATTACCATCATCACGGCTCTTGGCCCAGAAGTTAATCTTCAAATCAAAGAGTATCTAAATGTGGCTGTGGAATTTTGTTGGGGAGTGTCCTGGACACAGCTGTCGGAATTCCAAAGGCATCAGGTACACACACTGCCGGCAGAGCACTCCCTTATTGTAGATGGGGAGACTCTGAGCCTGCTGAGAAACGTATTCCAGCCTCAAACTGGGTAAGAATTTTTTCTGGCTTTAACATGATAACTCAGGCACAACCCCTTGAATCATACCACGTGGGAAAGTCATGAATAGCAAGACTCAGTTGAAGAAAAATTACCAAATTCTGCCCACTCAAAAAAAACGCCCTCAGGAATTCTCACTTGTGTGAACACAGTTTCAGTTTCTGTCTCTCCGCCCTCTTTCTGGTTTGGGCTAGGAGTCCCCTAGGACTGCCAAACTGTCTTGGGGATACTGTGAATTCAAGGCAGGCCACTCACTTAAAACAGAGGGCTAGCAAACATGAATTCTGTCACTTATTCATTTATTCTTCAATCTTCAATACAGCTCATTTAATACCCATAATAACACTATGAAATAGACCTGATTCTTCCATTTTAAAGATGAAGACTGTGAGGCTCCTAGTAGTAAACAGAGAAATATTTAGTGTTCAGGGCCTCACTTGCATGGGCTTCTTTCAAGACTCTAGCAATGTATTTGCAGAATCACAGAATTTTGTGAAATTTGCAAAAGTAAGATATTGTAACTGCAGATGGTTAAGAGCACTGTCTCCTTCTACTCTGACATCTCCCCCCGTTATACTTCCCGTCCTGTTGAGTGGTGCTGCAGTGGCTACAGGCATTTTGGGATCCAGCCGGAGGGAAGTTGAGTTAGGGATAAGTTTAGTTTGGGTTTAGTGGAATTTATGCCTGTGGTTCGCAGTCACCTTAATGCAGAGTCAAGTTATTGCCAGCTGCCCCCATAGAGGAATGACTTCCAGGAATATGCTTACTGCATCTTCACTGGCATCGAGACAGAAACGTGCAACACTTGGCTTCTAACGTATATGAGTGGTGGAGGAAAAACAAGGATTGAAACATAGGGAGCCAGAAGCTAGTCTATGGAAAATTCTTCCAGTCATCAAACATGCAGAGTTGTAAGAGGAGAATTTAGGTCTCTTTGATGCCTACTCAGAATGGGAAGTCTTCTCCTGCCAGGACTATATTTGATAATACAGTGAATATAGTTATAAATACACCAAATATTTTTTCCCTTCCTGGTAGGACTTATGCAAAATAGAATTTATCAAAATTCCCACATTGTGGGGCCCAAACCTGTAGTAGTACAACAAATAGTTGATATCTGTGCATAAAGTCATGTTTTATGCATTGTAACTATCAATAATAAAAAGCAAATGTTGTCAGCTATACCAGAAGAAAAAGTGAACTATGTTTTTAGCCTCCTTTTAGAAAAAATGACAAAATTATTATCACATGAAAAGGTGATCAAAGAATATGCAGCCAAAAAATGTTAAGGAAAACAGTATTATAATGTTTGCTAGACAATTAGTAAAAATATTTTGTTATTTTTCTGATTTTTGTGACATTTGTGATACAGGCCAGGTTTTAAAACGCATATTGGTTGTGATTTCTTTTCTCATTCTAAGTAAATATTCACTATTGTACCTAATTTTGTATTTGTCATTTTATTTTCTTTTTCTTAAAGAAGTCCCCCAAACTGTATAAGCCCTACAACATTTTGATCCATCCCTGGAGGTAAAACAACTTTCCTAATCAGAAAGTGGCCGACCCAGGACTGGAGGACTTGGTGCCTCGTGTGTTGGATTCCCTCCACCTCCCCGCATCTTGGCCCGGTCACCAGATAGCCTGGGATATACAGAACAGCATGCTAGTGGAGTAGGTTGAAGGGTGGCAGATTAGCAAACTAGGCAGGCAAAGGCTTTTGAAAACCTGAGTATATAACCTGACGAAACATGAGTCTGCTAGAACCGAATGCCCAGGTTAAGGATAAATAATCCCAAACCTCCACCCAATACAACTGAATCTGATTTGATGTTTTCAGATGCCACATTTCCTAGACTTGCACTGTCCAAAATTTAAATTTAAATTAACTTTTAATTTAAATTAAAATTAATTAAAACCAAATAAAATATCCAGTCTTTCACTTGTACTAGATACATTTCAAGTTCTCAATAGCCTCATATGGCAGGTGGTTACTGTATTAGGCAGCACAGATATAGAACATTTTCACCCTCACAAAAAGTTCTATGTTTAGCTCAGCTTGTTTTAAATATTGATTACCTCTGGAGTTGTTAGCTGCCATCCAGTAGGCCCTATCATGGCAACCTAATGCACAATGGAACAAAATGCTGCCCAATCTTTCATCACCCCCATGATGGACTGCAGATAGGTCAATTGTGATTCATAGGGTTTTCATGGCTGATCTTCATAAGAAGATTGCCAGGCCTTTCTTCCTAGTTCATCTTTATTCTGGAAGCTCAGATGAAACCCGTTCAGTATCATAGCAACATGCAAGCCTCCACTGACAGATGGGTGGTGGATGTGCACGAGGTGCATTGGCCAGGGAATTAAATCTGGGTCTCTCATATGGAAGGCGAGAATTCTACCACTGAACCACCACTGCCCTTCTGAAGCAGATGGTGTTATCAGGCGAGTGTGACAGACAAGCAGTAGGAGACAGAAAGCCCTACCCAGAGAGAAAAACAGAGTGCAGCAGCCCAGCTGCAGAGAAGGGCAGGGGGAGAACTAGAGAGGAAGTAAGAACCCAGCCCTGACAGGGGTGTGGAGCCTTAAAAGGAATAAGGGCTTCATCAGACACACAAGACAAGGAAATGATTCAAAGCATACACAAGCAACAGTAAGAAGTCCTAAATATTAGCTACAAAAATAAAGGACAGAATCAAGGTTATTTGTATCTTTACACACTTTACACACTCCTTATTCACACACTTTAAAGTGCACGTTGCAGTCCAGGTCTTTGCTGAGAAATCTTCATTATAGCTCTGCATGGCTGGAATATCTACAGCATGAATTGTGGAGTTACTGGCAACAATACCATCCACTTCCTCAGGGCTCCCCCTCCACTGCCACATCCCACCTCCCAAAGAGCTGCTGCCAATTCCAGGCCTATGCAGAGACCAGAAGGGGCTGAAGGCATGCCTGGCCTCACTTTCCTGCTGGGCCTCGCTTGGGGATAATAAATCCTGTACCCAACTCCAAACATGCAACAAGTCCTCACAAGTAGTCTGAGATTAAAAGGTAGCTTGGGGACCTCCAGCCCATCTCCAGCCCAAGGCACAAGTTCAGTGTGTTCTAGAGCAGAGAGGCCCAGCAGAGTGATAGGCCCACGTGTCCCAGACATTTCAGTGTGTATGAATGGAGAAAGCAGGAAGCATTGGGGAGAAGGAAGGTAACAAACTGTCTACCCCCGAACAGTTACAGAATGCAGCTCCCAGTAGGAATAAGACTCTCATCACTACGGTGATACTGTTAAGTAATGGCTCCTCCCACATTGGATAGGGCCTTAGAGCTTACTTCGCATTGATTACCTCATTGAATCCTCACAAGAGCCCTGGTTCCCACTTTACTGACAAAGAAACAGGCCTGGAAAAGATAAGTGACTTGTCCAGGGTTAATAGCTAATAATAATTCAACCATGATAACATTGTGCCACCCACTCATCCATCCGGTGAACAACTCTTAAGAGGCAGCCTGCATAGTGGGTAAGAGTACAGATACTGGAGCAGACTTCCTGGGTTCACATCCTGGTTCTGCCAATTATTAGCTGTGTGACATTGGGTATATTACTTAACCACTCTGTGCCTAGTTTTCTTGTCTATAAAATGGGGAGAATAATAGTTGCACTTTCCTGAGGGGTTGTTGTGTGGATTAAATAAATTTACACATTTAAAGTACTTAGAAATGGACCTGGTATGTGGTAAGCACTCCTTAAGTATTAGCTGCT